GTTATCACAAGTTAACACTTTCATTGCTACGCGGATGACACCCAGCTCTACCTCTCCAGCAAACCAAATTCCACTCTCCCACCTTCCTCCCTCACCGACTGCTTCACCGAGCTCAAATCCTTGTTCTCCTCCAACTTCCTCAAACTCAACAGTGATAAAACCGAATTTCTTTTTATTGGCACTAAATCAACCCTCTCAAAAGCTGACAGTTTTTCCCTCACCATCGACCACTCCTCTGTCTCCCCTTCCCCCCAGGTTAAGAGTCTGGGTGTCATCCTCGACAGCACATTATCTTTCCAATCCCATATCAATAACATCACCCGGTCTGCATATTTCCACCTACGCAATATTAATCGACTCCGCCCCTCCCTTTCTCCCCACTCCACTGCCATCCTTGTACACAGCCTTGTCACCTCCCGCATCGACTACTGCAACTCCCTTCTCTTCGGTCTACCTCACAAATACCTCCATAAACTTCAACTGGTTCAGAACTCTGCAGCTCGAATTATCACCAGAACCCCCTCCATCCACCACATCACCCCTGTTCTACAGCAACTCCACTGGCTCCCGGTAAAACTCCGCATTGACTTCAAAATCCTCCTATTCACGTTCAAGGCCATCCACAACCTCTCCCCTCCTTATCTGTCCGAACTCCTCCACATCGCCAACCCTTCCCGTTCCCTCAGATCTGCCTCCTCTGTCCACCTCTCTGTCCCTCCCGCCCGCCTCGTCACCATGGGGAGCAGGGCTTTCAGCCGCTCTGCCCCCCAACTCTGGAACTCACTCCCACCGGACCTCAGGAACCTGGACTCTCTCACACTCTTCAAATCAAGATTAAAAACTCACCTATTCAGAACTGCCTACCCCACTTAACCATCTACATTGTCTTTTCTTATCTGTTTCTTATTTCTTGCTTTTTTTTTTTTTTTTTTTTGTTGTTGTATGGTGTCCTCGAGTGCCCAGAGAGGCGCCTCTAATAATTTAATGTATTATTATTATTATTATTAAAACGGAGGAAATAAAATGTATGAATGCATGGCCCTTTAGGGCTTCCGTAAGATATAACATATGTTTAAATGAAGTATTTATTTACATAAACACTGCATGTACTAAAGTAAATACATTTTGTTTCCTCCACTTTCTTGCCGTCTCTCAGAAATGGTTTTAATGATTCTACAGAATGCGATGGAAACATTTTCTTGTTTTGTGCTTTAGTTCAGTCCAGAGTTCAAGTGTCAGTCAGTTAAGATCAATGAGAACAGCAGATCTGAGAGTCTCCTTTTAGTAACAGAGGAGAGAGAAAGTTGATACTGACTGCCCTCTAGTGTCTTTATAACTGGAACTGTGACATTATTTTTCACTCTCATACTGTGAGCTACTTTAGATGCCAAATGATATAAACATTAATGTGTAGCTACATGTCTTTCTTTTATTCAGACCTGGACAGTGATTTCAGCAGACTGTTTGGCTGTCAGTGGCTGTTTTTGAAGAAGTGATCATTAAAGGAAGACATTTTATTTATTTAGGTGCTTAATTGTTATTGTTGTTATGATCTTCCTCACAGATTGTTATGTTTTCTTAAAGAAATAAAAGCAAAATAAAAATACAAATCTTTTCTAAAGTAAAGTAAAGATGAGTACTGTAGGATTTTGTACAGCTACTCAACCAACTCCAGTCACTGTGAGTGTCGAGCACAATAATAAACAGCAGAATCTTCAGTCTTCAGGCTGTTCATCTGCAGATACACCTGCTGTCTGCTGTTGTCTCTGGAGATGGTAAACTGGCCTTGAACTGACTGAGAGTAGAATTTGTTACTACTGTCAGTATAGATCAAAGCAATCCACTCCAGTCCTTTTCCAGGAGCCTGTCTGATCCAGTGCATCCAGTAGCTGCTGAATGTGAATCCAGAGGTTGTACAGGTCAATCTGTGAGATTCTCCAGGCCTTTTAACCACTGGTTCAGATTCTGTCAGAGTCTGACCATCAATATCTGTAAGAAAAAATCACATGACTATAGTTTGTACAGAACTATTTATATTAAAAAAGATCAGTGAAGATCTTGGAAAAACTGGAATCAATTTTTAGAAGTCAGTTTAATTGAATTTGCATGAAATGTTACTATCATTATGTCATACTGTTGACCTTATTTTAGCTTTTGCTCTTGCACAAATATTCAGTTACCCCATACAGAGATAAAAGAATCAAAAATCAACCCTGGTTTAACTCCATAACTCATATGTTTAGGTATTGACTCCTCCTCACAGTGTGGAGAGAACCAGACTGGTCATTGCTTATTGTCTATTCAGAGCTGTGACTTGAGTCAAATTAATTTTATTCATGCATCTAAAATTTATGTTAAATTTGAATAGTCTTTCAAAGTTGAATTGTGTACTCTATTTGAAATTTGAAATTGTATTTTTGGTCAAATAATATTCTGCTTAAGAATTATTCACAGAAAAAAGAAAACACAACACACAATTGAAAAATCAAACTCTTATATGTTGTTTTTTTCTTTCTTAAATGAAACCTATGTTGGGCAAAAGTATCTGTCAAATAAGTACATATTACAAAAATAAATGAGATCAAAATAATAATAATTTAGATAATTAATGAGTAAAAACTAGTGCTGTCAAACGATTAAAATATTTAATCGCATTAATGTCATAGTTAACTCGCAACTAATGCAATTTATTCGCACATTTTTATCTATCCTAAATGTCCCTTGATTTCTTTTTGTCCCATTATTTTTCTCATTCTAATGCTCTTATCAAAATGGAGAAGTGGATCGGCTTGCTTTGTGCAAATGTTTGTTTCTTTATTCACCAGAGGCTCAACCCAGCCTCTTATTTCAGAAAGAATGAACAGTAACGGTTAACAATAAAAGGTAAGCCTACTACTTCTTTGCTTTGAGCCAGTTACTCAAACAGACAAGCCTGTTGACATTTTCAGACAACAAGGAATCCATCCATTTCGGCGTCTCTCGCTCACCATCCACTCAAAACGTAACGTCTACTACTCTTAAACAAGTGTGTGCGGCGTGCCTGTTGTTTTGTTTCCGATCTAGCTAGATGCCATGTGGTGTTGTTGTTTTTCTAACGTTACTAGTTGTAGTGAAGACACTGGGATGTTACTGTATATGGCGTTAGTTCAGGGGCTATCACTGAGTTCACACCGGGGTGCCGGCCAGAACACCAACTTAAGGCTAAGTAATGCTCAGAGGTCCACAATGAAGAATGATGATGATAGTGCAGGTGGTTTAATATCCTCTTGCTGGCAATGAGGTCATGCGGTTTTTCTATAGCAAAGGAACAATAACAAATATACACAAATGAATAAGAATAAAGCTCTTAATCACTAATAAACATACTAAAGGAGTACTGAAATTACTACATCCCCAAAATAACAGTCCTGAAACACTCTTCACCTGACTTACTAGCATATTAACACACATATAAACAACATCACATGGTAATATTTAAGTAACACTCACTGTAAGCATTACACTAGCGAGTCGGAGCGATAACAATAACGTAACATGTGACGTGACGTACACTTGATCAGAGGCAGGTGAGCTAAATGCTACAACTAGCTTAAACAGTGACCACATGGCAAGTCTGACAGCTACACATCAGAACAACAAAATAAACTATAGCTGCAGCAACGTAAACACAGTACATCAACAATATATCCGGACATACTCACTTTCCATCCACGCACAGACCACTTGCCGTGGCGTTAATTGTTAATTGAACCGTGAATCCCTCACTCTGCCGTCTCACCGGAGCACACACCTCTCTGACCAAGTACCGTCAGTTACGCTATATAACCAAAGGGGGGTGCTCTTATATGAGCTGACCAACACTACATCTATGAAATCACACACTAAACATAATATGTCCCAACTTTGGGGCCTTTTCTACACTAGTTGTTGCAACCATAGACATATATACATAGACGCTGCATCGACTGTGGAGCGACGTGCCTACAGGGCGGCCATCTTGGAACAGGGCTAGCAGAGGCAGCGGTGCATCAACCTACGAAGGAAAGAGGAACTCCGCAATCTCAAAGTAGAATTAGTCGCTGAATTTTGGACCGATTTCCAAACGTATTGATTTGTTAAAAACGTCACACATGTAGCTATGATACAGGGTGCTTGGATATTTTAAAAGTGCTGGTTTTACTACCCAAATACAAATTCTACTTAATGTTATCAGCAGACGAGCGTCTGACAGAAGATTCATGATTAACTTGAGCACAGCTTTTTTTGTAATTGCAGCATTTCTTTATTCATTAACTTATTCACTTACTGTAGTTACTTACTGTATTTACTGCAAACAGAAATACACTGACAGCAGCCAGGATCATGTAAATCATGTTGTATGAAAACTGCAATGTGATGCTGGTTTGCATAAAGACTTTTAATGGTTTCAGTGTTTGCAGATATTTGAAGACATACAGAGAAAATTGGAGCCCTGAGAGAAAAACAGCTGCTCAAGAACTGAAACCTGTGTGACAAAATACACTATAATAAAAGTCTTTAGATTAGATGAAAACTACTGTAGTTCATTTTTGTCATTATCACAACATTTGTCCTTTGTGTGTGACTGTGTCAGAAATAAGTCTGAATCAAATAGCATGCAGTGTGGTTTATTTGGATTTTTTGTTCTCAGTTTGTTATAATATTATTATTTCCAAATAAAATAAAAATGTAACAAAAACTAAACAATTTGTAACATATGACAGGCACAAGTTTATTTGTGATCATGGAGATATGTAGCTACCTTTCATCCCTAAATAACTACAGTGTATTTCTTGTTTTATTGTATCAAACTGTCAATTGGTCATGAATTGTGGATTTAAATCCAGTCATAAGTCAGTAAATGTAGCATTGTGTGGTGTGTTTTATAATTTTTTAATCTGAGGACATTAATCAGTTGAAACAGTGCAGGGTCTCCTTTTGGAAACAGAAGAGAGAGAAACTTGACACTGACTGTCGTCCAGTGGTTTTATACCAGAAACTCATTTTTATTTTAGTTATTATATTTTTCACTCACATATTATCATGGAGTTTATATCCACATAATTTGCAGTGTCTTAATTTATATAAATGTTTAGTATTTGCAACAGTTGAATTGCTGCAACCAGATTGTGCTGTCTTTGGCCCTTTTATCAACAAGTGCATTTTATTGTGTTTTTTATGTTTTTAATATTTCGTAATAAAATATGAGGAACAGTTTTCTGGACTTAAATTGAGAGACAATTATTAATTTATTCACTAAAATACATCTAAATAAAATGTAATGTAGCATATAAAACTATGTATTAAAAAATCATCATCATCATGTCATATATCATCATATATAATACAAATACTATGAATACTTAATGCACAGACTCTACCAGCCTGAAAGATGAGTACTGTAGGATTTTGTACAGCTGCTCAACCAACTCCAGTCACTGTGGCTCTCGAGCACAATAATAAACAGCAGAATCTTCAGTCTTCAGACTGTTCATCTGCAGATACACCTGCTGTCTGCTGTTGTCTTTGGAGATGGTAAACCGGCCTTGAACTGACTGAGAGTAGCGTTTCCCGTCATTATCATTTTCCACCCAGGCAATCCACTCCAGTCCTTTTCCAGGAGCCTGTCTGATCCAGGCCATATGATAGCTGCTGAATGTGAATCCAGAGGCTGTACAGGTCAATCTGTGAGATTCTCCAGGCCTTTTAACCACTGGTTCAGATTCTGTCAGAGTCTGACCATCAACACCTGTGAAACCAAGAAAGATATATGTTATGTGTTACATTGGTAGTAAAAATGAAAATATGTCAAATCAACATCAGTGAAGATGTTCACCTGCCCAGCAGATAGTTAACAGCAGCAGTCCTGTCCTATAGTCCATCATGTTAAACTGTGTGTCCACTGTTCTCTGTCATCCTCTCTGCAGTCAGATAAGTAGAGGTGGAAGACATCTGAGTTTTGCATTGACTCCTCCTCACAGTGTGGAACTGGATTTGACTTGGATCTCAGTTGATGTTTGGTGAAACTGCAGAATGAATGTTTACTGTACATTAGTCATTCCTCCAAGAGTCCCTCTTGCATGTTTCAGTATAATTTGTGCAACAGGTTGACAAACACATTATTTAAGTTGGTTGACCCTTATTAAAGACCACATTATAGACCACAGTCTGCATCATGGGAAGACCTCGACAATAGTTTACGATTCACCTAAACTGAGTATTTTTAACATTTTAATGTAAATGATTGTCAAATAACACCCTAACAAATCTTGTTCATTATGTTACAATAGTGATTTTCTCACAAAAAACATTTCTTTCAAGTGTTCATAAGTCAAACATTTTCAAGATTTCAGGAAAACAAAAACCTGAGTAGCAATAATAGTGAAGTATACATTTGAGAATATTAATTAAGCATTAAATACAGGAATAACATTCTACATTCAACACTCCTCGGTACATGGATGCCATGAATACCCATGTTTTTCAGTCAATACAAAGAAATTCCATAATTTATATTTCTGAGACAGACCAGAAAAAACACGTTTTGTAAAATGCAACCATTGTATGTTTGATATTATTATTCTATATTATGATGAACTGGGTTTATTCATTTACCTTTTTCAATTCTTATTATCTCTGTTTCTGTCTTCACTGTAACAGTGAACTGGTGTTGAAATCATTAGTGGTCTGAGGGCTCCTCCTCTGGTGGCTTCATGTTACAAGTGTTCCGGCACTGAGGGGTCTTTGCAGTGCCGGCTGTGGCATTATTATTTCTTAGTATGAAAAAAATAAGCCCACATTAATTTAACTGCATAGCAAAGCCTATTAAACAATAATAAGACTTGATTAAGCCCCCCCGCCCCCCTCCTCCTCCTCTACCTGCTCTCTGAGAGATGGTTAAGTTTTCTGACGTCACCCCAGAAACCATTAACAATGTCAAAACGACCAAAACTTTCCGGTGCCCAGGGGAAGGAGAAAAAGAAAAGAAGATGAGGAAAAACACGACATAGACAGAGGTAGAGTAAAGATAATGAGATGAAATGATTTGTCTGTTGCAGAACGATAGTAACCTTTAGCCTAACACGGTTTGTTAATCAATAAATAACATCAGTTCATGTTATGGAGAGGCCTAACAGCTGTTATGGAAAAAAGTAATACTCCCACCTTCTATTTCTCAGGGACATTTGTAAACATTAGATCTATTCAGCAGGTGTTTACATTTGTCTACATTTTTATTTGTATTTATTATTGGTCAGCTAACGTTTGCTCTGCTTGTAACAGTCAGTCAAACACTATTCCTTTCACACACCTTTATATATTAGAGGTGTAAGCCTTGTTGTTTGTTGTGTTACAGTTTAGTAGTGTCTAAAGTGTGTTTATAGTGTTATATAGTGTAGCTTCCTGCCAGAGGGGAGTGGTTCAAAGAGTTTGTGGCCAGGATGGGAGGGGTCAGCCACAATCTTGCCTGCACGCCTCAGGGTCCTAGAGACGTACAGGTCCTGGAGGGATGGCAGGTTGCAGCCGATCGCGAATGATGCAGAATAAATGATGCGCTGAGTCTGCCCTTGTCCTAGGCAGTGGCAGCAGCATACCAGATGGTGATGGATGAGGTGAGGATGGACCCGATGATGGCGGTGTAGAAGTGCACCATCATCGTCTTTGGCAGGTTGAATTTCCCCAGCTGCCGCAGGAAGTACATCCTCTGCTGGGCTTTCTTGGTGAGGGAGCTGATGTTCAGCTCCCACTTGAGGTCCTGGGTGATGATGGTACCCAGGAAGCAGAAGGACTCCGCAGAGTCAACTGGGGAGTCACACAGGATGATGGGGGCGGGTGGGGCTGGGTTCTTTCTAAAGTCCACAACCATCTCCACTGTTTTTAGAGCATTTAGATGGTCAATCTCCCATCTGTAGGCGGACTCATCTCCACCAGAGATGAGCCCAATGGGGGGAGGTGTCATCCGTGAATTTCAGAAGCCTGACAGACTGGTGACTGGAGGTGCAGCTGTTAGTATACAGGGAGAAGAGCAGAGGAGAAAGAACGCAGCCCTGAGGGGATCTGGTGCTGATGGTCTGGGAGTCAGAGACATTTTTCCCCAGCTTCACGTGCTGTTTCCTGTCAGACAGGAAGTCTGTGATCCACCTGCAGGTGGAGTCAGGCACAGTGAACTGGGAGATCTTGTCCTGTAGCAGAGCAGGGATGATGGTGTTAAACGCAGAGCTGAAGTCCACAAACAGGATCCTGGCGTAGGTTCCTGGGGAGTCCAGATGCTGGAGGGTGAAGTGCAGGGCCATGTTTACTGCGATGTTAACCGCATCATCTACAGGCCTGTTGGCTCTGTAGGCGAACTGCAGGGGGTCCAGGAGTGGGTCCGTTATGGCTTTCAGGTGGGAAAGCACAAACGCTTGCTCTTTCTGCAACCATAACTGTCTGAGTTTGGCTGTGAACCAGGGTTTGTGGTTGTTAAAACTCACCCTGGTGCGTGATGGTATACAGCAGTCCTCTACGGTCATTGCCGCTTCAACAGCACAAGTGATCCTCCTGTCACCTCCACCTCAGAAGAACCCAGTGATGCAGCATCAGGAATAAAGGTTCGCTATCACTTGTTTACAGTTTTTATTTTGTAGGTAGTTAAATTTTATACTTTGTGTAGGCTAGTTGTATTAAATTTCTTGTATTATTTATTTTGTAATTCATAATTTTCTTGTGAACTGTTTTGCTTGAGCGACTTGTTTCTCTAAAAATAAAATAAAATGTCAAAGACAAAGCTGTTCAGTTTCTTTCTCTTTAATCTCATCGTACATATGTACAATGACAATAAAGGCATTCTATTCTATTCTATTCTTCTTGCTTGAGTATATGTATGTATATAACTGGCCATGGAATTTTCTGCGATGCAAGGGCGGCACCACCTTAAATCTTGCCTAGGGCGCCAAATTGGTTAGGGCCGGGCCTGGGTTTTTGTTCAGGTCTACTGATTGTTTGTGTTATTGTGTCTCTCTGGCACAGTAATACACAGCAGAGTCTTCAGGCTGCACATTCTGTCCGTTTAGAGTCACTGTGTTACTGGAAGAGTCTAAGTCGATACTGAACTTGTTCTTCAGTGAATCTTTGTAATATGTGCTCCATCCATCACCTGCGATTCCAATCCACTCCAGTCCTTTCCCTGCAGGCTGTCTGATCCAAGCTGTGCGATATCTGCCCAGAGGATAAGAGACCTGACAGGTGATGGTCAGACGTTGACCTGGCTGCACAGTCACAGAGGCTGGCTGTGTCAACTGTTCACACTTCACACCTGTTAAAAAAGAAAATGTTTTGTAACAAATGATCAAGTTAAACTGCAAAAGAAGAACTGTTGACTTCCAGAGAGACTCACATCCAGCTGCCAACAGCAGCAGCAGAGCTACAGAGAACATGGTTTATGTTGAAACTGACGTGCTGTGAACTCCACTGACAGCCTGATGGGAAGTTTTTATAGCTGAGTAACAAGGAAGGTCTCTGAGTTTGCATAGAATCAAACATATGAAGCATCAATGTTGGTCTAACTGGAGCCAATAGAAGAGTTATTATATCTGCAGAGTGAAAACATGTCTGAAATCACCTCTGCTTTACATATGATATTTTAACTTTATTACACACTCAACTGTAACATTTTGAAAGTGAAACTTTACATTTACAGTTACAGTTAAATAATAAAAAACTGTAACCTTTGCTTTTTTTTTCTTTCCTATAAACTATTACAGTCTAAATATTTATTTTGACAACAATTTGGTATTAAAACATTATGTAATTTTTTTTATAATTTCAAACAATGACAAGGATAATTATTCTTTATATGAGTATTAACATGAATGATGGATAATGATATTCATTACAACCAGCACTGCAATAACAATGATGATGTGCATCCATTGAAACCAAAGGAGCAATCGGAATATTGCTTTCTGTGCCATGTTGACAGTGTGTTTATCATGTTTTCAATTGATTGCAGTGTTTTACTGCACCATTAATTTATGCATTTATTCACTCACATATTGTATCCGCTGCAAGCAGAAATATAATGACAGCAAGGATCATGTAAATTGTATGTAAACTTCAGTGTGATGCTGCTGGTTTGCATAAAAATTACTGGACCTGAGGACATTAATCATGTGAGACAGTGCAGGGTCTATCAGCCCACTGAGGATGAGAAAAGAGAGTTTTTGCTTAAAAATCCCAGAAAATGTTTGTTACTGCAGGATTAGTTGTTCATCCATCTTCGATCAGTCTCATAAGCACAAGAACACACAGCAGCTCCTTCAGGCTTCCTGTTGTTCATCTTGAGATCTGCCTTAAAATCAAGTTAACACAGGACTTTGACTTTCCATCTGATTGGGTGTAAAATGGCGCACGCTCTGCTGCAACAGCACACACTGTGACTCTGCTTTGTTTCCCCCCATCTTCTCCTACTACTGTATCAAACTATCATCCAGCCCATCCTCATATACTGCTCCTCCTGTTTTTACAACATGCTAACTGTCACCAACCGGACCAAATTCATACACATCACCAACACAGCGGCCAAGATAATTGGACTCCCCACACCCAATCTCACAGAACTAAACAACAGGGCCATCTCACACATTGCAACCACAATAGAACTGGACATTACACACCCACTGAATCAATATCTCACCCCACTGCCTTCTGGACGGAGGTACCGAACATTGAGGTGCAAGAAAGCTCGCTATGGGAAAAGCCTGATCCCTGCAGCTACTGCTGCTTTAAACAAAGGGGCGCGCTGAGTGTGTAACCTGTCATGTATTATTTATTTGATTGTTTGTTTGTTTGTTTGTTTTGTTCTGTAGATTTGTTAATTGTGGATAGCGTGTTTCTTTGTTGAGTGTATGGTGTTGCCTGCAGGTGCAGTGATGTGGACATGAATTTCCCCCTTGGAGGACAATAAATTGAATTGAATTGAATTGAATTGAATTGAATTTTGTTTAGGATAGAAAAGTATCAACTCTCACAATATCCAGTTTACATGAGCAGCAGGAGTATTACGCTTTAGTTCAGTCCAGAGTTCAAGTGTCAGTCAGTTAAGATCAATGAGAA